GGAAATCTGGGCCTCCCTACTTAGGCTGCTACCCCAGCGACCCGACCCCGGAAAAGCGGAAGAAAATGGATGGATGGATTGAACCATGAGAAACATTAATGAAGACGCGATCATTCAGAACCCAAAAACAGTGAAAGTTGCAGTGATGGGCAGATCCAGGTGTATTAACAAGATTCAGTGACTCCAGATAATCTGAGATCTGAAAATAATGACAATAATATGAATGATGCAGAAAAGTCTCAGACCATAAAACATCACAAATCAGATGGGCAAACAAATCCGACGAGGTGGCCCAACTGCAGTTTGAGTTGGGTTGAGGGGGGGCTCCGGCCCCCCTGCGAAGATGGATGGATGCTCCCATGAGAAACAGAAGCTGGGTCCAGAACCAACAGGCAGAAACAGATAATTCACAGCAAATAACAGAGCGAGCTGCCAGAAAATCCTCCTGAAATGAAAGGCATGGTCCTAGCTCGTTTCAGGTCAACAGAGGACAAAAGTGTGATCTGGAATAAAAATCATGTATTATCCAGGTGAGTTCGGATGGAGGCCTGCAACAACTCTGATGCAAACTCTGGACTTCTCTCGAGCATCACACAGTGCTGCTCCTCCGCGCTTCACTCCGCTTCTCTACGCGTCACCTCCGCACCCGACAGCACAAGAGGCCACTTCCGGTGAAAAACGACAAGACTGACCGGAGAGGCTGAAGTCGTCACTGGTCCGGTTCGGTTCTGCTCCAGTCCGGCTTCGGCACTCCACAGCACAAGAGGCTACCTCCGGTGAACAATGATGAGACTGACCGAAGAGGCTGAAGTGGCTGAAGTGGCTCAAGTCATCCCTGGCCCGGTTCTGTTCTGGTCCAGTTTTGGCGGCGCTTCAGAGCATCTCCTCCAGGTGAACACAGCAATTCCCATGGAGGTGGACAGTCCTTTGTTTAAAGGTAACAGGCTGCTCACTGAAGCTAAGACTGGCTCTATTAAAGACGAAGTCCCCCACAGCCAACTCGGTTCGGTTCTGGATCAGTTCAGGGGACACAGGTACACTTCCCCCACATAGAATGAAGACACCACAAGGAGCCAGTCCAACAGAAAGCCAGCTAAAAAGCCAACAAAATACCACCCAGCGATTCTTGTCTTAACCAGGTAGAACCACAAAGGTCCAGATGAGAAGTTCGTTGGGGTCCAGAGAGAGAGAGAAAAGCACCGGTCCTTCGTGCGACGACTCCCCAGCTCGAGGGGTCACCTGACTGGCAGAGTGTGCTCAGAGTGACTGGTGGGGTGGGAGCGGCCGGTCCTGGACCGAAATAATTATTTTTGGGACGGTCCCATCCGGCTCTCTGAGTCACTGAACACCGAATTCGGTTGGAAGGGGGACCAACTTTAGTCCGGTTCGAAAAACAGGTCAGTTTGATGATAAAGGACTACAGAGATGCCGGGGGAGTTGCCGTCCATCAGCTTACCGGAACCGGAAGTGATTAAAAAGTGAGATAGGCTGATATGAGCTGCGCAGAGGATCTTTATCTTTCTTAGGTAACAGCGAGATTACAGCTTGACACGTTCAGTCAACCGCTATTTCTACAGCTTAGTCTCATAGAGTCTTGAGGACTCATTTACAAGAGAGACTTGTTTTAAACAAAGAACACAGATGAGGAACAGACAACACATGGACAGTGGCAATATCTGTGCAGCAAGTGACTCCACAAACACAGACAATAATAAGGGTGAGGGTAGACGTGAACATTTAAAAAAAAAAAACTCAGATGGGAAGCTATCTGGTCCAGGGGATTTCCCATTTTGCATATCATTAATTACGGAGTTTATCTCAGCTACAGGGAGCTCCCTCTCCAAATCCCCAGCAAGATCAAGATTTACTGAAGGAAGTTTTAAGATCTTTAAAAAAGTTCTTTATGTCTGATATCTAGCTGATTTCGGCTGTTCCCTTCTTAAGGGGTTGCCACAGTGATTTACGTCGCACGAAGACTTGGCAGTTATTTTACTCCGGATGCCCTTCCTGACGCAACCACAGACACCGAGCTACCACAGCCCTCTGTGTGGAGCAGAGAGCTACTATCTAGGACACCCGGAGGAGCAGATGGTGGGGTTTAAGGGCCTTGCTCAAGGGCCCAGAGTAGGACGAATGAAGGTAGGGGCAGGTGTGTGTGCTTCACCTACCCCACCCATATTTTTGATGTTGTCGGTACCGGGGCTTGAACCGGCGATCTTCCGATCACAGGCCCAGCTTCTCTAACCTCTGCGTCACCACTCCCCTTCTGATATCTAGCTGATAACTCAGTCATATACAATGACTGGTAAAATTTACTGAAACATATTAATTCCAGCAGTGTCGTGACATGCAGCTACCTGGTCGTTGTTTATTACTAGAATAGTTTGGTTGGCTGACTGTCGCCATAGCTGATGTGCGAGCAAATGCCCATCCCTTTCACTGTGCTCATAGTAACCCTGTATAGAAATTAAATATTCTGCCTGTTGAGTAGACAAAGTATTCATTTCAGTTTGGAGTAACAAACACATTTTCATTAGATCCTGTGAGGGGGAGTGACTTTGTTCTCCGTCTAATTGTAGTATCTCATCCATTAACTGTCCTAGCTGCAGCAGGCCCTTCTTTTTTTATGTTTGCACAATAAGAATTTTTTTTACCCCTCAGGTAGGCCTTTAATGCCTCCCAAACAGTACAGAGTGGCATTCCTGGTGTTTGGTTAACTTCCATAAAAAAACCTAAATTTCAAATGTAAGAAATTTGATAAAGTCTTCCTCGGATAAGAGTAATGAGATGAATCTCCAAGGACCATATACAGATTTTGTGACTGGGATACGCAGTTTCATAATAAGTGGACCATGGTCCGAAATGACCATGGTCACATTCTTTCACCAAAGGCAGAGTTCATTTATCAAGAAAAAAAAGTCAATTCGGGAGTACGTCTTATGAACTGGGGGAAAAATCTGAGTATCATCCTGAAGTAGGATTACAGAAGCACCACACATCAGCCATTCAAGAAATGAATTGATTGAATGAGAGGACTCAGTCAGGGTAGATTTCTTGTTGAACTATGGTCAGGAGATGAAAGCAAACAATTTGTGTCACCACCAATTATAAGGTTATGTGTTAACATATTTGGTATGTTTGAAAATAAGTTATTAAAAATCTAGTCGTCCCAGTTGGGGGCATATACCGAAACTAAGATCACTGGCAGTGTGCACAACTTCCCCACCACTATAACATACCGCCCGGCAATATCAGCATGCACACTCGAGGCTGTAATTGATTAAACATTTTAACTTGAGTATAACTTTTCACAAAATGAGTATATTGTTTTTTTTCCAGTGAGACAAAAACAGAATACCTGTCTGAGAAAGCGTGACAGAGTTGTGTCTATGAATGATCTAATCTAAATTATGGTAAGCTAATGTGTGTCTGGAAAAATACAAGCACCAATACTTATAATTTGCCCCACCATTATTTTCCAGTTTCCTGTAACTGACAGCTGGTATTAGTAATGATTAATTCTCAAACAGGTCTATAAAACAAAGTTAGAGAGCAACGTGTCTGTCCAGCAGTTGACCTTGACCTGTAAACGCACAAGGGTAGGTGTAGCAGCATGGCTTTTAAAGGAGGGTCTCTACTGGAGTTTAGAGGACACAGGTACACAAAACCTACATAGGACCACTTCCTGTTATTATCATCTTTAAACTCATTACATGATTTTTACAGGAACTTTTATTTTTGAGGGTTTTTATGTAGTGTAGCATGAAAATGTGCCACTCAACTGGTATTTGTACTGAACAAAAATATAAACGCAACACTTTTGTTTTTGCTCCCATTTTTTCTAACATCATTTTTAACATCTAAGACTATTCACACAAAACACATTTTTCTCTCAAATATTGTTCACAAATTTGTGTAAACCGTGAATTAGTGAACACTTCTCCTTTGTCGAGATAATCCATGCACCCACAGGTGTGGCATGTCAAGGTGCTGAGTAGACAGTATGATTATTGCACAGGCGAGCCTTAGACTGACCACAATAAAAGGCGCAGTTTACTTTTACAGTATTAAAGTCAGAAAACCAGTCAGTATCTGATGCGACCACCATTAGCCTCACATCTCCTTCACATGGAGTAGATCAGGTTGTTTACGGCTGCTGGTGGATTGTTGGTCCACTCCTCTTCAACGGCTGTGTGAAGTTGCTGGATGTTGTCAGAACTGGAACACACTGTTGACGTCGATCCAGAGCATCCCAAAGTTGATCAATGGATGATGTGTCTGGTGAGATATTCCATTTTTTACAAACTACTGTATATACTCTATGACTGAAGCCATGGCTGAGAAGATACAAACTAGTGATAACTTTTGGACAAAACCTCATTTTAAAACGTCCTACCTAGTCTTTAATACGCTCATGAATTAAATGAACATGGAATGAAACATCCACGTGCAACTACAACCTGCCAATTCATATCAGCAAAAAATAAAACATACAAGAAATACAGATCTTATTTGTTATCAACACAAATAAATGGACCAAATTAAAACATGAGAAGCTTTAAAAATTATAAATTTTCATCTTACAAATATAACATAGTTTTAAATACTTAGTGATGTCATATACAAATAACTTTACATTTGAAATACTACATTAGACTTTCAAAGTTGTAATGTTCAGGGATACACGTGAAACAGGAAATTCCTGCCACATATGAGCCCAAATAAAAATAAAATATTCAACATATTCACAGGCAGTCATACAGTAAGAAGGCATAGCAGAAAGTGAGTCTGTAGAATAAACAATGAAATAAGCGTTCTGTACCTGCACACAGCAGGTTCAGGAGAATGTGTGAGACCATAGACTTTATACTCTCCAGTATGACAACAGATTGTACGCTACAGTTATTTGTGTATTATTAAATAATCAGTCCCACAACCTGAGATGTGATGAACAATTACAAGAGTGTTACACACGGTATTGCATTCCATAATGTATGTGCATCAAACTTCATGATATTAAAGATGTGTTGCTCTAACAACGTTTGAGTCTTCGTCCCTCAACATGGCCGGGTTATCGTACATCTCCAGGCTTTTCCTGCTGCTTCTTGTGATCTTTTCCTCCTCGTCACCTTTATTGCAACAGTTGCTGCATTTGCAGCAGCAGCAGCAATGTCTGCTACAGAACAACATGGAAGAGCTCACCACCTTGTCCCACGGCGCCATGGAGTGCAGGGGCCGGGGCAGAAGGTCCCAGCTGCGCAAAATCTTGGGTAGGTGGCGCGGGCATCGAGACTGCATCACGTTGACGATGATAACAAAGATAGCCAGTACAACGATGGGCACGCCGACGCCCACCAGGATTTGCCAACCAGCCAGAGACAGGCCAAAAACACTTAGCGGGAGAACCAGGAAGCACAGGAAAAGGTAGAGGGCAGCAAACCAGCGGTATTTAGCTGTTTTGTTCCCCAGACCTCTGGCCAGCCTGATGGGCACCCGTGTGAAGGGGATTGGATACCAAAGAATGATGCCCATGATGTTGAAGAAGAAATGGCAAAGTGCAATCTAAAAAATAACAAATAGAAATAAAAACACTGATTTCAGAGCTGAAATAAATTTGACAGATCTCTGGGCCTAAAGTTCAGGCTAGATGCCAACATGGAGCAGTCCCATCATTTTCACCACTGCAGTTGAACTTTTTTCTTTGCAATTGTTTTTAAATACAGTTCCATTGACAGAATGTACATTTATTACATTTTTCAGAGACTTTAGTTTAAAGTTTTTTCTATAAAGACATGAGCAGTTTGCAATGTTTTTAAAAACAGAAGAGTTTTGATTTAAAGGGCATCCAATATTCCTTTTTTAAATTTAAATTAATGTATTCATTAAGATAAATATATCTTTAAGATGAAAGAATTGTATACTATGTATACATATATGTACATGTATATAGGGTGTGTAAATATTTGTGTAAGCGTTTTACCTGCAGGGAGTTGGCTAGTGTCTCTCCGGGGCTAGCCATTGCAGCAAGAATGGCTGTGGTTGTTGTTCCAATGTTTGACCCCAGTGTCAGAGGATAGGCCCTTTCAAGACTAATTACACCTATACCTGGTGAAATGAAAGTAAAATGCATTAGTTTGGCTGTAAATTTAAATGGGACCAAATAGTGACCTGTATGCTAATAAACACTTACCAACAAGAGGTGTTATAGCTGAAGTGAAAACCGAGCTACTCTGAACTATAAACGTCATTCCTGCTCCGACTAAAATAGCAATGTAGCCAGTAACCCATGCGAAAGGGAAGGGGAAGTCTGTAATAATTTAAATACACATGAAGTAAGCCACAAACATCTCAAGAAGAGCAGAAAAATGCCTTGCAAAGCAGTGTTTGTGCCTGAGCTTTTCTGCACGACACTCCAGGACTGCTCCACCTGGAGACAAGCCTGAAGCTACAGGAGGGCTGTGCCTGTGCTGCTCATCAAGCATCACCATGAAAACACATGTGCTGACTATCAAACAGGCTCTATGCAGCATATGGACAAGGATTGTTTTGGAGAAGTTTTTAAAGTATCTACCTGTGTTGAGTATTTTCTTGATGACCAGAGCCACCTGCCCCTTCAGCATGGAGTTGAGCAGCTTGACAATGAGGATGAGACAGGTGCAAAGAACAAGCAGAGACAGAGCCAGGAGAATGAGCCCTACGGCTAGATCTGGCAAGTTAACGTTGACGAAGAGGTGTTTGCCTGAAAAACATGGTTGAAAACATAAAGCAGCTGCTCACTGTGACTTTTACTAAAAGATTCCTGCACATCACTCCGTTCAAAACAAACATTTTTGTCTCCCACTACTGAAAGACAGACAAGTGATGATGTTTGTGCCTGTGTGCTACAACTGATTAACTATTGTAGCCAACACAATACAAGATGGCTGCCACTATAGCGATATGGGGATGTATATATATTGTTAATTATCAGTTATGAGTTAAGCTCATAAGATATGCATGTATTATGCAAATAACCTCGTTGTTTGGGCACCACCTCTCACTTGGAGAGGAAAAATCAGTCTCTGTTTACCCCAAATCAATGTAAACTGAAACGTGAGTTCTTTTCTTGTGTTTAAAGAATATCTAATCAATTAATACACACAGATATGCCAAAATAATCACAAATTCAGTTGATTTTATGTATTTTATTATAAAAATAATCCGTGATAAATATGATAAAAATTATGCATGACAAAATTAACTGAACATCAAATTACTTTGAATCAAAGGTCTAATTGATGAGGAAACTTAAAAGGCAGGCTTAGGACTGGTTTCTGTTTGTGAAGTGGTTAAAATTGTGTCTAAGGTGAGCGATAGTTTGTCTGATAAGTTGTGATGTAGGTTCAACAGAAAGGCGTCTCTCTCCTACCAGGATGATAGTCACAGCATGGTCCCGACAGTTGCTTAAATGGTACCAACCTCAGATGTTCCGGTGACAAAGAGGCTGAAGTCTCCTCAAAGTTCACCTGTCATCGTTAGAGGGATGAAGGTCCATATGGTAGTCAGCTGGGATTTACCACTCTTCAGTGTGATTGTTGCCTGGTAGACATCTCTCGGGTCAAGGCCCGCCTGGTTCTGGTTCTGCTGGGTAACTTCTGTATCTTTTGTCCCGTCTCGAGACATTTGTAGAAGAGTTGCTTCTCGTATGCTCAAAGTTGACTGCTGAAAGTTCTTCTGTCTGAGGTCAAATGCAGAAGTGGGTTTCTTCTGAGTGTCTCTTCAAAGAATGTGTTTTCTCAAAAGTTTTCTTAGAAGAAGTGCAGCTTACTGTCTGTGTAGAACAGAGATGAAGGTCCTTCTCCGGGGGAGTGATCCTAACTTTTGGCTGTGTATTTTTTTATTTTTTTTTTAAAGGCCTATTAAATAAATCTAGAGTCCCTTTTCTCTGCCTTAAAAGTTTCCTTTAAAAAGAGAAAATAAGACAAATGTATTATCTTAAAGAAAGATTACTTAAAACACACATTTTCAAGAATAAACATTCAGGTATGACATATTTAGAATTAAACTTAAAACATACAATGTTTTACCAAAGGTGTCGCTGTCCATCTCCTGAAAAGGAATGTCATTAAACAAAAGGTTCTTATGGTGTTATCTTCATGGGAATGAGTCTGGGAGGAATACTCCTATTCGATAAAGGAAGATATCAAAGTGCCGAGTTCGGATATTTCAAAAACTCCGAGGTCAGTTTAACAAAAGCTCTCATTAAAACGATCTGTCCGTTTCATGGGAAATGAGTTCATATTGGCAGTGAGGTTAACACAGCAACAGTTTTTAAAATTACATTTGCATTAGTGTCAACTAGGGCATTAACAGAGTACTCGAGTGATCTACACATCGATTGCTAGAACATCTATCGAGGTTAAAAATGTAGCGTCGAGTATCCGTAGTGACGTCATATTATGTGATCACCGTATGACCGTAGGGGGCGGTGTTGCACTGCTGCAGGTCACAGAGTATGGTGTAACACCGGGTCCAATCCACCGAACCAGAACCAGTTTCCTCTTGTTTCACAAACAAAAAGCAAAAAATATTCATCTCTAAGCCTATAAAAAAAAATCTATAAACATATTAATCTCTAAAACTAAACTTAATGCGCACCACAGCTGGTGGTGGTGCGGGGTGGTCGACCCCCCCACTGTTTTAAGTTTAGTTATTTACGTGCTGCATGTTTCTTCACGTTTGCAGTTTAATAATAATATCTAATAGTTTAGTTTTTCCTGTGACTTATTTGCAGTTTGATAAATGGTAGGAGCATAATATACGCTCCCAATGTTTTGTTGGTCTTTTTTTTGTAAATAATTACCTTTTTTGCAGTTTTATTTATTTATTTATTTTTGTATCTTGAGATCTATGATGTCATCAAATACTCGAGTTCTACTCGGGTTTTATTATGTTAATGTCGAGTTTAAAAATTATATACTCGTTCAACCCCTAGTGTCAACTAAGAAGTTTGTGAGCGAAGCTGAATATTTGTAAAACAATGTCTGTTTGTTCCCAAGGGAATAGATTAATCTTATTTTAACAGTTTCAAACACAAAACACAGGAATGACATTTGTTTGGGATGAGGTGAACTGTTGCTGAGATGGTGTTCCCTGCACCACAGCCAACTGACCTGCAAGAAAAATGTCCAATTTGATTGTTCAGTGCTCTGCGACAACTTCTGTTGTGATTTGGTGCTTCATAAATAAACTGAAGTGAATTGATTCTGCAGATATTGATCTCGTAGCTGAGACTGATCCCCAACATACGTATGAGCAAACAGAATGCTCATTCTGAATTCTGCCATTAACTATTTTAGTCAACTCTGTCTGACTGATTGCAAAATATCTTAGGAATCACAAGATGGATTTTCATGAAACTTCCAGGAAATAGTCATTGAATGTACCGTTACAACTGATTAATTCAAGAACGACCAAAATCAAGAAGGCAAATCAGTCAGCTGATCTTTGAAAAACAGGAAAATTGATTTAACTCAGTAAATTTTACAAACTTGTGGTGATTGCTGTGAATAATGTAAAACACACACTCTGAGCATAGTTTTCCATGATATTGTTTAAGGTTTGAACAAAATATTGACAACTTGCTCATTATTAGATTGACACACATTCTTAAACCAAGAACATGCTTTTAGTTTTTTGCAGAACATTAGGATTAGCAAGAAAACACTTTTGGGGCATGCAGTAACTATAAGATAAGCTTTCCTAGTTAATCAAGTTAAAAATGAAAGGTAATTCTACATACAAAACAAAGCACTGAATAGTTTTCTTTAATTGAAGGCAGATTTCAATGATGAAGTGATGCGTCTCATGGGGCTGAGGTACTCAGGTGCTTCAACGAGGCAGCATGAAAAGACCTATTGAGGGCAATAACTAACTCCAGCAACATCACAAAGACTGGCATTGTCCTGATATCAAGAGGACGTTCCTGTGGCAAACTAATTTGCTCATGTTTCACTGAGCATAGTGGATCAGGTAATACTAACTGCACTCTGAATGTCCCCCACCTCCATTATCTCCCTCCCTCACTAAAAAAAAATTCCAGGCACTTAAGGCACTTACATTTTTCTTGATAGTCAGTGCAAGTGGAGTTCATCTCAGTCCAGGTCTGGTTTCCTTCCTCCCAGCACACAGCACCAGCAGGGCAGCTTTCTACTGTGATGTTCCAAAAAGTCTGACAGAGAGGGAGGTGACAGAAACAGAAGATAACACAAGTATCCTGATGCATGCTCAATAATCCAGGTAGAAAATCTAAAAAAGTTAAATCTGGTCCTCTGGACATTCAAAAAAACAAAACAAAAAAAATTGTAGAAACGTTCCGTCTTTCATCCGAAAGACTTCTTCAGTCTGCTGTTTTCAGCTCAGTCTTATAAACAGCACCTTCTCAGAGTGGATCAACCAATTTGCTGCTGACAACCAGAACCAGCTGCTCACATGATCAAGGAGGATCATCAGTAGGGGCTGAACGAGTATATAATTTTTAAACTCGACATTAACATAATAAAACCAGAGTAGAACTCAAGTATTTGATGACGTCATAGATCTCAAGATAGAAAAATAAATAAATAAAACCACAAAAAAAGGTAATTATTTACAAAAAAAAAGGACCAACAAAACATTGGGAGCGTATATTATGCTCTTACCATTTATCATACTGCAAATAAGTCAGAGGAAAAACTAAACTATTAGTTATTATTATTAAACTGCAAACGTGAAGAAACGTGCAGCACGTCAAAAACGAAATTTAAAACAGTGGGGGGAGGGGGTCGACCACCCCGCACCACCGCCAGTTGTAGCGCACATTAAGTTTAGTTTTAGAGATTAATATGTTTATAGATTTTTTTTTTTATAGGTTTAGAGATTAGTATTTTTAGCTTTTTGTTTGTGAAACAAGGTCAGAGGAAGCTGGTTCTGGTTCGGTGGATTGGACCCGGTGTTACACCATACTCTGTGACCTGCAACCGTGCAACACCGCCCCCTACGGTCATACGGTGGTCACATAATATGACGTCACTACGAATACTCGACGTTACATTTTTAACCTCGATAGATGTCCTAGCAATCGATGTGTAGATTATTCGAGTACTCTGTTAATGCCCTAACCATCAGCCTAACGATGGATCATTAGCACACTGATGGCTGTTTACTATTCACAGGGGGCTGAGTGATACTAGCAATCACAGCATTGTAGGAGGGGGACAGTTGAACCCGGAGGCTCCACCCCTGTTTAATGATGGACGGTTTCTTTTCACAAAGATGGCCTCCTTTACTCCTCTCTCAAACCATCGTTCCTCTCTATGAAAGGATGTAAAATGGTAAATGGACTGTACTTATATAGCACCTTTCTATCTTATTTCAAGATACTCAAAGCGCTTTACACTACAATCTGTGTCCTCATTTACCCATTCATATAGCACTCTACTAGATCTCTACAAAGCTAATTAAACAAATCATTCTAAAGAGACTAATCAGTGCTTTAGAGCACATTCATACACAGACGGGACACACGTCAGAGGCAACGATGGGTTCAGTGTCTTGCCCAGGGACACTTCAGCATGTGACTGCTGGTGGATTTGAACCCCCAACTCTCGCATTGGAGGACAACTGCTCTGACCATTCAGCCACAGCCGCCCCATTCAGCCACAGCCACCTGAAGATGAGTGTAGACCACGGAGTCCTGGCCTGATGATGTTGATCTTCTGTGCTGGTCCATCCTTTTGGCCAGTGGCTGTTTAGTTTCCCCGATGTAAGACTGATCACCCTCCTGACACTGAACAGCATACACAATATTACTCTGTTTGTGCCGGGGGACTGGAAGTTTGGAATGAACCAGTCTTTGCCGTAATGTATTTTGGGGTTTAAAAGCCACTGGGACATTATGTTTAGAAAATAAACGTTGCAGTTTCTCTGATAGTCCCGCAACATATGGAATGATCACTGGACTGGGTCTGGGTTCCTCCTTTTCACCTGATTGCTGGCTGGAGTCCTGTTTGGGTTTCTTCTCTGCTTTCAGGAAGGCCCAGTTAGGATATCCACATTGCTCTAGAGCTTGTCTTGTGTGGGATATCACCTTCTGCCTGTCTCCTGAGTTAGTGGGGATGCTGTCTGCTCTGTGGTACAGAGTCCTGATGACTCCTAACTTGTGCTCCAAAGGAAGTCAAACTGCAAATACTGGTCTGTGTGGGTGGGTTTGTGGTACACCACAGTTTGCAAATGTCCTCTATCAGAAACTGAGACCTCACAGTCCAAGAAAGCCAACCTGCCATCTTTTAAATCTTCTCGTGTGAACTTAATATATTTGATGTGATCAGTGAAATGTTGGACTTCCTGAAATTTGATTTTAACCCAGGTGTCATCAACATACCTGGACCAATGACTTGGTGGTGTCCCTGAAAAGGATGTCAAGGCTCTCTTTTCTACCTCCTCCATGTACAGGTTGGCCACAATAGGAGAAACTGGAGACCCCATAGCACACCCATGTTTCTGTCTATAATATTGGCCCTCATATGTGAAGTAGGTGGGCAGCACGGTGGCGCAACTGGTAGAGCTGCTGCCTCTCAGCGAGCAGGTCCCTGGTTCAAACCCTGGTCCAGGGGCCTTCTGGGTGGAGTTTGCATGTTCTCTCCGTGCATGCGTGGGTTTTCTCCGGGTACTCCGGTTTCCTCCCACAGTCCAAAAACATGCATGTTAGGCTGATTGGTAACTCTAAATTGTCCCTAGGTGTGAGTGAGAGAGTGAATGGTTGTTTGTCTCGTTTGTCTCTATGTGGCCCTGTGATGGACTTGCGACCCGTCCAGGGTGTACCCCGCCCCTCGCACAGTGATTGCTGGACATGGGCACCGGCGACCCCCGTGACCCAAAATGGAACAAACGGGTAAAGATAATGGATGGATGGATGGATGTGAAGTAGGTTGACTCCAGGCACAATTTCAAGAGTTGACACAGCTGTTCTGTGGAAAGCGTGGTCCTGCTGCTCAGAGTGATGTCTGATTTTAATCTTAAACTGACCACCTCTACTGCATCATCAACAGGATGCACATAAAGAGTGATGTGACATCAAAAGAGACCATTGTTTCATCAGTCTTCATAATAACATCCCTCACCTTATCCTCAAAGTCCATGGTGTTCTGTATGTGGTGTACTGAGCTGCCATCTAAAGGGATGAGTATAGACGCCAGATATTTGGAAACATTGTAAGTGACAGAGTTAATCATGCTGACAATTTGAGCCTATAAGACTCGTTTACAAGTGAGATCTGTTTAGACTTACAAAAAGTAGTGAAACTGGACACATGTAAGAATTGGAGGCGAAATAATTTCTATCAGACTTTTTTTTTTCCTGCCTGAGAAGAAAAAACTCTGATATTAAAAAACACCTTGCACAAACAAGCACATAGTGACGTAGACATTCTGCAGAGAGGCGGAGACGGCGAGAGCGGTGAGCAATGTTCATAGATGCTCTTGAGGGCACTGTAAAAGTTCTGATAAGGATGTAATAATCAGCCAGTGTCTTCCAGTGAGATCCGTAAACATTCTCGAGGTATGTTGAGGAATGGCCAAGAATAATGATTATGAGAATCCAAGAGCCTGAAATGATTACACAAAGTTTATTCAGCTGGTTTCATCTGGTTATCAGTTGGAAATTCCTCAGAGGGGGGGTGGTGAGCGTGAGATCACATGTTCTCCAGGCGAATTCAGATAAATTGGCCTTCAAGGCCAGCCAAGGGAGCCTAATTCAGATAAACACACAGTTGTTTTGGGGACAGGCAGAACTTAATGACATCTACCTTGAGTCTGTGTTGTTCCACTTGGTTCCGAAATGTCCAAATTACATGGCCACACCGATGGAACGTGACTGAGTAAAATCCCTGAGATCTGATCCATTCTGCCCAAAGCATTTGAGTCTGGGTACTCGAGGCACAAACCAAGCCATCATAAAGCCAAGCAGCGTGATCAGGTCCAAATTTGCTGCCGATGACTTCCTTGATTGTTGATAAAACCAGCAACCAGCCGAATCAAAAAAGCAGGAACCATCCATCCATTATTTTCTCCCTAAGAAAAATTTATCCAGCCTTCAGCTGTTACAAAACTCTGCTGCTCGTGTGTTAACCAAGACCAGAAGGCAGGCTCATACTACACCTGTTTTAAAATCATTGCATTGGCTCCCTGTGCGTCTCAGGTTTGATTTTAAGATTCTTTTAATGGTTTTTAAATGTCTTAATGGTCTCGCACCATCTTATCTTGCAGAGCTGCTATTACCCTATGAACCCCCGCGGACACTAAGGTCCTCTGGCACTGGACTACTAACAGTTCCAATAGTCAGAACTCACACTTACGGTGAGGCTTCTTTCCAGTACTATGGCCCCCGTCTGTGGAATAGTCTGCCGGAGAACCTGAGGGCCGCAGAGAATGTTGGTGTTTTTAAGAGCAGGCTCAAGACCCATCTTTTTAACTGTATTTCCTGAGCTGGTTCATTTCTGTTCAGTCTATACATTTTCCATACAATTTTATTTTATTTTGTGTGTGTTGTTTGCTTTTATTTTGTGGGTTTATTGTTTATAATTCTGTACAGCACTTTGAGCTGCTTTTAGTATGAAGGGTGCTTTATAAATAAAATTGATTGATTGATTGATTGATTATCTTTTACCCACTTCTTCCATTTTGGGTCACAGGGGTCGCCGGTGCCCATGTCCAGCAATCACTGTGTGAGGGGCAGGGTACATCCTGGACAGGTCTCAAGTCCATCACAGGGCCACATGGAGACAAACGAGACAAACAACCATTCACTCTCTCACACACACACCTAGGGACTCTACTCCGAGTCCCTCCCGGATGACCGAGCTTCTCATCCTATCTCTAAGGGAGAACTCAGACACCCTGCGAAAACTCATTTCGGCCACTTGTATCCGAGATCTCGTTTTTTTGGTCACAACCCAAAGCTCATGACCATAGATGAGGGTAAGAATGTAGATCGACCGGTAAATTGAGAGTGTCGCCTTTTGACTCAACTCTCTCTTCACCACGACAGAGCAGTACAGCGCCCGCTTCACTGCCGACACTGCATCTATCCGCCTATCGATCTCATGCTCCATTTTTCTCTAATTGGTGAACAAGACCCCAAGATACTTAAAATCATCCACTTGGGGCAGGACATCCTCCCCGACCTGGAGAGAGG